TTGGCAGAGGGCGGCTTTATCTGCTTCACACAGGGTAACTTTGTGTTCCCACATGCCAAGCATCGCTGTGCTTACTGCCAGTGAGAGAGGCTAAGCATTGTGGGGAAGGGGCATGTGTAACATCGGGGGGGAGGGTCTTGCATCCAGTCTTTGTCGCCATGATGTAAAAAAGATGTTGAGACTCTAGAAAGAGTGCAGAGAAGAGCAACAAAGATAGTTAGAGGACTGGAGGATAAAACATATAAGGAACGGTTGCTGGAATTGGGGATGTCTAGTTTAATGGAGAGAAGGACAAGGGGGGACATGATAGAGGTCTTCCAGTATCTCAGGGTCTGCCCCAAAGAAGAGGGAGTCAAGCTATTCTCCAAAGCGCCTGAAGGCAGGACAAGAAGCAACGGATGAAAACTCATCAAGCAGAGAAGCAACCTGGAACTAAGGAGAAACTTCCTAACAGTGAGGGCAATTAACCAGTGGAACTACCTGCCTCCAGAAGCGGTGAATGCTCCAACACTGGAAGTTTTTAAGAAGAGACTGGACAGCCATTTGTCCGAAATGGCGTAGGGTTTCCTGCCTGAGCAGGGGGTTGGACTAGATGACCTCCAAGGTCCCTTCCAAAGCCCCTGAAGGCAGGAGAAGAAGCAAGAGATGGAAACTCATCAAGGAGAGAAGCAACCTGGAACTAAGGAGAAACTTCCTGACAGTGAGGACAATTAACCAGGGGAACCACCTGCCTCCAGAAGCGGTGAATGCTCCAACACTGGAGGTTTTTAAGAAGAGATTGGACAGCCATTTGTCCGAAATGATACAGGCTTGGCCTCCTGAAGTTCTGCCTCTCCATCACTGGAGGTTTACAAGAAAAGATTGGGCGACTCTTTGTTCAGGATGCAATAAGCTCTCCTGCAGGGGGTGGACTAGAAGGCCTTCAAGGTCCCTCCCAACTCTTCTGATATTCCGTCTTTGGGGCATAGCAGCTCTGGAAGCAGCCATGCTTCTTGGTTGGGCTGCCCCCCCAGTGAGCCCCCTGGCCTTGGACCCTCTGAAGGGGTCCCCATCTTTCCTCCTGTCCCCTCTTCCTGAAAAGTCTTCTCCCTAGCCCACAGGCCCCCTTCATCTGCAGAGGAGGCTGTGCCCGCCCTCCCCCCCCTCCGAGTGGGGCGAGGGAAGGGCCAGGCCAGGAGGTTAAATCAATTTTCATGGCTGGCAAGCAGATGGCTGAGAAAAAAACCCCCTTTTCCCATCCGGGCGGGCAGGGCGAAGAACATTCCCGCAGGAGTCTGCTGTGACTGACGGAGAACAAACGGAGATTGGCACGGGCTGCTGCTGCTTACGTTTCGACGAAGTCCCATTCGTCATCTTCAGGCTGGTGTTTTCAGCTTCGTGCTTCGAGCAGCTGCTCGAAGCACGACGCTGAAAACACCAGCCTGAAGATGACGAATGGGACTTCGTCGAAACGTCGCCAAGACACTTCCAATTTTACGCGGGAGAAAACCCGAACAACCAAAGACCTACATACAAACACCCGCGAAAACCTCAGAAAACATATCTTCCCTCCCCTCCTCTTCTTTCTAGTTTTTCCTTCCCTCCCTTCCTTGCTGCAAAAACCCTCAGCGGCGTTCTTGGCAGATGCAGACAGTTGTGCTTTGGTTGTGGTGGGGGGATCTGCTTCTTGGGGGCAAAAAAACACCAACCCCCTTCCCCAGCTGCTTCCCCTCTGCCCTCCCACCCTCTTGCCTGCCCTTCCCCCCCCCACCCGCTGATCCGATGCCCATTACAAGGGGGTCATCAAGGAAGAAGGAAGGCAGCGGAGGCAGCAGCCGAGAAAGAAGCAGAGAGCTCTTGGGGGGGGGGGCAAATGGATCCGATGCCAGCCACGAATGCCGTGCGGGATTTGTATTCTGCTTTACACCCGGCGGCTGCGGAGAGGAGATCAATCCAATTAAGAGTATTTCCAGCCCTGCCTGCCTCCTGGCTCCGGCCTGTCTCTCAGCCTGTCTGCGGCGGGGAAGGCCGGCTGAGCAGAATCCCTGAGTGGGCAGGCAGGGGCTGGCTGGCGGGGGGGGGGGCTCTGCTCTTCCAGATCCCGCCACTCAAAAGTCTTGAGCTTCCGAACAAAGCCAGGTCAGCAAAGCCTGTCAGCAAGAAGGAAAGAATGACAGGATGCCAGAGTTGGAAGGGACCTTTGGAGGTCTTCTAGTCCAACCCCTGCTCAAGCAGGAGAGCCTGGACCATCCCGGACAAATGGCTGTTCGGTCTATTGAACACCTCCAGGGATGGAGCACCCACAACTTCTGGAGGCAAGGCATTCCAGTGATTGATTGTCCTCCTCCTCTTTGCAAAACCCCCCTCCCTTCTAGCTCTGAGGATGTTGCCTAGTTGGGTCATGAAACGTCTGCAAGAAAACCACCCAGCTCAAGAGAGCACCAAGGACCCCTCAGTCCTCCACCCCTCCTCCTCCTCAAACTCATCTCCCTTTTAGCACTGATGATGTTGCCTAGTTAGGTCATGAAATGTCTGCAAGAAAATACCCAAGCTCAGAGAGCACCAAGGACCCCATAGTTCTTCTCCTCCTCCTCCTCCTGCTCTTCCCTTCTAGCATTGATGATGTTACCTAGTTGGGTCATGAAATGTCTGCAAGGAAACCACCCAGCTCAGAGAGCACCCCATAGTCGTCGTCGTCGTCGTCCTCCTCCTCCTCCTCTCTGCGCACCTGCCCTTCCTTCTAGCACTGATGATGTTCCCTAGCTGGTCATGAAACGTCTGCAAGGAAACCACCCAGCTCAGAGAGCACCAAAGACCCCACAGTCCTCCTCCTCCTCCTTCTCCTCCTCGCAAACTCTCTTCCCTTCTAGCTCTGATGATGTTCCCTAGTTGGGTCATGAAACGTCTGCAAGGAAACCACCCAGAGAGCACCAAGGACTGGTCATTTCAACCCCGAACTACAACTATCCCCCTTTGCAAGCCATCTCGCTGGCCCTCCTCTGCCCCCTCCCCCCCCCGTGTGTACATGCAACTCCTCCTTAAAAGGAGCAGGCACGCCAGACGCAGGCACACCAAGCGTGCGTAGCTTTGAACAGGGTCGCTTGACTGCACCCTCTTTCTCTCCCGTGACAATCGGTCTGATCCCCTCCAGAAAAGGGGGCTTATTTCCTCCCCTTTTCCTTCCAAAAGCGCTCTCCCCCTCCCCCCAGCCCACTCCCAGCTGCCTGGTGCGTGGAAAGTGGGCACCACGCAGGCCGAAATCTTTCACGCCCGTCCACACAGCAGGCCCTGCTTTCAGCGCCTGGGCCCGGCCTCGGTCCATGGTGCAGCAGGAGGGTGGGGCGTGTCCGTGGCTTGAGGTGGAGGGGTCATCAGCATGCAATTGATGGCATCTGCTTGTGGGCTCCGGGGCGCAGGCCCGGCTGGCAAAGTGCCCGCTAATGGTCTTGACCGCAAGGAGGAGATCCTTTTTCGGCTGCCGGCGTTTTCCTGTGAAATACGGCCAATGCTGACCCCCCTCTGCCCTCCGGCAGGGCAGCCAAGTCACTCAGGTGGAGGAGCCCCCGCCCCACCCGTCCACTTTAGGGGCAGAAAAGCTGCCCCATTGGTTCATCTTGCAGCCCCTTTCCCGTTTAAATCCCTGCACGATGCTTGTCTCCAGCAGGGTTTTCCTTCCTTCCTTCCTTCCTTCCTTTCTTTCTTTCTTTCTTTCTTTCTTTCTTTCTTTCTCTTTCTGAGTTTTTTCTCTCCCAGTGCATTTTTCAGCCTTAGAGCCTTCGTTGTGAATCAACAGAAGCAGAATAAATTAACCTCTGGGGAAACCGAGGCGAGCATCTCTCTTCTGGAAGGCAGGGGAGGCGTTTAGGCCGAGAGGTCCCTCCGTTCCCTTGGCGTTTTGAGCCCCAAGTATCCAGCGGGAGGAGTGGGCTTGTTTGTCTGGGGCTGGGCATGGGAGGGGCTGCCAAGGCCAGGCTTTTGGGGGAGAGACCTTGGCCTGGGGTGCGGAAAGAAAATAACAGAATAACAAGGTTGGAAGGGATCCCCGGGGTCTTCTAATCCAAGCCCCTGCTCGGGCCAAAGCTGGCTGTCCAGTCTCTTCTTAAAAGCCTCCAGTGATGAAGCACTTCTGGTGGCAAGCAGTTCCACTGGTTAATTGTCCTCACTGTCAGGAAATGTCTCCTTAATTCCAGGCTGCTTCTCTCCTTGGTTAGTTTCCACCTGTTGCTTCTTGTCCTGCCTTCAGGCGCTTTGGAGAAGAGCTTGACTCCCTCTTCTCTGGGGTAGCTCCTGTGTTACTGGAAGGCTGCTATCCTGTCCCCCCCCCCTTGTCCTTCTCTTCATTAAACTAGACATACCCAATTCCAGCAACTGTTCCTTGTATGTTTTAGCCTCCCTGATCATCTTTGTTGCTCTTCTCTGCCCTCTTTCTAGAGTCTCGACATCTTTTTTACATCGTGGTGACCAAAACTGGATGCCGTATTCCAAGTGTGCCCTTACCAAGGCCTTGTAAAGTGGTATTAACTCTTCATGTGATCTTGCTTCTGTCCCTCTGTTAATTTAAGGACTACCTATACCAAGGGGTCTTCAAACCTGGCCTTTTTATGACTTGTGGACCTCAACTCCCAGAATTCCTCAGCCAGGCACGCTGGGGGTTGAAGTCCCCAATTCTGGGACTTGAAGTCCACCAGTCACATAAGGGCCAAGTTTGAAGACCCCCTGCTCTAGAAGAAGGCAAAGGCCCGCCTGTCTGCAAGGAGTATAAATCCTTCCATTCCCCACCATTCGGCCAGAACCTGAGGAAGCTCCTGGGATGGGGAGCGAAAGGTCTTCAGGGAGAAAAAAACAAAGGAAGTCCAGTTGCCTCCTAAAAAAGAAGCCCTCCTGGCGACAACCGCATCCTGGATGACTGAGAAAATCCCCGTAGATAGAAATCAAAAGAAATAAATGGTTCCACACTCACCCCTTGTCTTTCTCCCTCCCCCCCCCTCTTTCCTCCTCCCCCCACCCCGATCTGTCCCCAGAGCACGTCTGTTCCATCCTGGCCTCGCTCCTCCGAAACCTGCGGGCTCAGCAGAGGACAAGACTGCTCAACAAGTTCACGGAGAACGACAGCGAGAAGGTGAGCGGTGGGGCAACTAGGAGAAATAGAAAGGAAGGACCACTGTGCCAGCTGGGGACCCTGCTTCCTGGCGGGGATGCCCAGAAGGTGCCCAAAGGCTGGCAGCCCTCCTTCCCCACGGCTGTTTCTGCAGCCGTGCAGCTCCTGGTTCTTCCCGCCTTCTTGGCCCAGGCGGCCTCTCCACCTGTGTTGACAGCATCAATCGACCGGATCTCACCAGCTCTGCACAAATAACTTTGGATCAAAATGAGTGTCAGTTCTGAAAATCAGAGGCAGCACAAGGGGGAGGCAGCCGCGGCGAGCCGAAGGGCGCTTCCAGGGGCGCCTTTGCCAAGCGTGTCCCAAGGCGCCCCCACTGGGTCTGTCCTTGGGCCATGAATGTGCTTTTACCACTGAATTAGAGCTGGTATTTTTCCCTCCCCTGGAATTACGGAGCAGGAGGAGGAGGAGGCGGTGGGAGAAAGGCTGGTCCATCACTGCCAGCCGGGAGGGCTGAATGGAGCTGCCATAATAATGATGATGATGATGATGATAATGATAATAATATAGAAGAGAAAGAACTGGAGAAGATAACAAAATACAAAGACCTAAAAATAGAAATAGAAAGACTGTGGCAAAAGCAAGCAAGGGTAGTACCAATAGTCATAGGTGCCTTGGGTGCAATCCCAAAACAATTGGAGCACCACTTGAACACCATTGGCATTGACAAATTCGCTATTAGTCAATTGCAAAAGGCGGCCTTACTAGGAACTGCTTCCATCCTGCGACGATACCGGTAATACCATCAAACATCCACATCTGCCTATCCCAGGTCCTGGGTAAGGACTCGATAGGTAGACAAAATGCCAAATCCAGTCTGAACATCTGGTTGACTGTGCGATGATCCATAATAATAATAAAGTTGGAAGGGACCTTGGAGGTCTTCTAGTCCAACCCCTGCTCAAAGCAAAGTCCTTATATCATTCCAAACAAATTGTTGTCCAGTCTCTTCTTAAAAACTTCCAGTGTTGGAGCATTCACAGCTTCTGGAGGCAGGTAGTTCCACTGGTTAATTGTTCTCCCTGTCAGGAAGTTTCTCCTTAGTTCCACGTTGCTCCTCTCCTTGATGATAATAATAATAATAATATAAAGTTGGAAGGGACCTTGAAGATCATCTAGTCCAACCCCCTGCTCAGGCAGGAAACCCTCTACTGTTTCAGACAAATGGCTGTCCAGTCTCTTCTTCAAAACTTCCAGTGTTGGAGCATTCACCGCTTCTGGAGGCAGGTAGTTCCCCTGGTTAATTGTTCTCCCTGTCAGGAAGTTTCTCCTCAGTTCCAGGTTGCTTCTCTCCTTGGTGAGTTTCCATCTGTTGCTTCTTGTCCTGCCTTCAGGCGCTTTGGAGAACAGCTTGACTCCCTCTTCTTTGGGGCAGCCCCTGAGATACTGGAAGGCTGCTATCCTGTCCCCCCTGGTCCTTCTCTTTGTTAAACTAGACATCCCCAATTCCAGCAACCGTTCCTGATATGCTGAGGCACTCTGTCACCGGGAAGAAGACCCGGGGAGACCCGTGTGAAAGGGCCACGAGTCCTTGCCTGCATGCCGAGGAGAGGCTGGCAGATGCAGAAAGAAACACGCCAATCCAGAGGAATGTTCTTTTCTCCTCCAGGTGGACAGGCTGATGGAGCTCTACTTCAAATACCTGGATGCCATGCAGGTGGCCGATAAGAAGATCGAAGGGGAAAAGCACGTAAGTGTCAGAATCCAATTATATTTCATCTTTAATCATCAAATATAGAAAACCTCAATTCTGCCTTCTCTGGATTCTGCCATAAGAGGGAGAGAAGGGGGAGAACAAAGGGGCTTTATGGCCCTCACTTCCTTCAGTATGAAGGAATGTGTTTATTGCAACCTCAAAGAGTTTGAATGTAAATAGCACCAAAGAACCTTACCATGACAAAGGGGCTATTTACCTTTCATGTAGTTTATTTGAAGTCTCCATCCAGACGGAAGAAAGGAGCAAAGGGGTGGAATTGTGATGCCTGAAACTATCACTGGAAGGGGGGGTGATTGGGTGGGGTTACTGGGGAACCCCTTAAAACCTTGAATGGGAGAGCTTGGACCCCAAGTCCTGTCTAGCCCGCCTGCAACCACTTCTTCTTAATAAAGGATTCCTGTTGGAAGAATTATTCCAAGAGTTCTGTCTTCTTAAGATGCAAAGTGGGGTGGGTCCTTACAGTAAGTCTTCCTGTCTCCCCCCCCCCCTCTGCCTTTGGAGATCTAGAGAAGCAGCACGGCTCTCCCCCCCCCCCCCGCAGCTGCCTCCTACAGGGGACACACATCAGAAACCCCCCAGGAGGGAATCTCTGGAGCCCAGAGTTGAACGGGGGGGGGGGGTCCGGCCCGGGTGCTCTCTGAGCTGGGTGGCTTTCTTGACCCAGCTGGGTAACATCATCAGTGATGGAAGGAAGGAAGAGGGGTTTGCAGAGTGGAGGAGGAGGAAGAGAGAGACTGGGGGGGTCCCGTGGTTCTTTTCTCGTAGACGTTTCATGACCCAACTAGGGAACATCATTAGTGCTAGAAGGGAGGGGGGTTTGCAGAGAGGGGGAGGAGGAAGAGAAAGAGGGAGAGAGAGAGAGAGAGAGAGAGAGAGAGAGAGAGAGAGAGAGAGAGAGAGAGAGAGAGAGAGAGAATGTGGAGTCCTGGGGGTTCTCTGAACTGGATGGTTTTCTTGGAGACATTTCATGATCCAACTAGGGAATATCATCAGTGCTAGAAGGGAGGAGGAGGAGGGCTGTGGGGGTCCTGGATGCTCTCTGAACTAGGTGGTTTCCTTGCAGACATTTCATGACCCAACTAGGGCACAACATCAGTTCTAGAAAGAAGATGGGGGAGGACTGTGGGGTCCTTGGTGCAGTCTGGGATGGCTTGTTTCCTTGCAGATGTTTCATGACCGAACTAGGGAACATCATCAGTGGTAGAAGGGAGTGGGGGTTGTGGAGAGGACGAGGAGGAGAACTGTGGGGTCCCTTGTGCTCTCTGAGCTTAGTGGTTTGTAGAGAGGAGGAGCAGGAGGAGAACTGTGGGGTCCTTGGGGATCTCTGAGCTGGCTTGTTTCCTTGCAGACGTTTCATGACCCAACTAGGGAACATCATCAGTGCGCGTAAGGAGTGCAGTTTGCTGCCAGTTTACATCCTGCCCTCTTGCCCTGTCAGTGTTGCTGGTCTTAGAGATTCTTTGGCTGGGCCATTGTCTCTTTGGCAGCTTCTCCAGTGGGGCCTTGCTTACTTGATCGATGGCCTGATGTTAATCTTGGAGTCAATCTAGGTCAGGGGTTCTCAACCTTGGCAACTTTAAGACTTGTGGACTTCAACTCCCAGAATTCCTCAGCCAGCTTTGCTGGCTGAGGAATTCTGGGAGTTGAAGTCTACAAGTCTTAAAGTTGCCAAGGTTGAGAACCCCTGACCTAGGTACTGATTTTGCTCTTCTTGTTCCCTTCTGGGGCTGGGTGAGCGTCCCTTTTGCATCGTCTGTAGAGCTTGTTAAGGCCTACGTGTCCAACCTGTCGGAGGGCTTCTACAAACTCCCTGGCGTTTTTGGGCCTGGCCTGGGCTGGTCTCAGTTTCCCCGTCTGTCCAAGTGTTGTGCAATTAAAGGAGCTTTCATCCCGTCTTCACGGATGTGTGTTGTCGGCCTCCTGCCTCTTTGTCCTCTGTGGGAGCTGCCGCAGTCCTTAAACCGGGGGTTGCTAATGACTCCTGTTTTTTCTTCTGGGGCTGTGGGGTCTTTCCATTTGCGTAGGATGTTGCGAAGGGTTTCCGTTGGCTTGTGTGCTACGCTGATGCCATGCGGTTGTTGTAGATTCCGAGATCTTGCTGATGCCTGGGAGTGCCACTCTTTTTAGGGCGTGTACACAGAGATCCAGAGCCTGGATGAAGGTGAGCCTGGGGTCTTCCTCCACTACTGTCCCATCCTCCAGTGTCGCTTTAAAATGGACAGTCACATCCTGGCCCTTAACTGGCTGGCTCTCCTGACCTTGGCCTGATAAGATGACTTTCTTCTTCAGTAAGCCATTCCCTAAGACAGTGGTTCTCAACCTTTTTAATGTCGCGACCCCTAACCGGTCATAAGTCGAGGACTACTCAACGGGTGCAGCACCGTTTGCAGACTGGGGCTTTTGGCAGGCTCAGCAGGGCAGAGACAGCCTGGACAATTCCTATTGGCTTTGGAAAGCCAATAGAATTAGGCTCTATTCAAGAGAGTCTCTTCTATTGGCTTTCAAAAGCCAATAGAATAAAAGGGAGTCGCACAGCTAAGGAAAAGGGGGAAAAAATGGCGGACTGCGTTGTTTGGCGATCCCCGTGAAATGGTCGTTCGACCCCAAATGGGGTCCCGACCCACAGGTTAAGAACCACTGAACTAAGACATCAAGCCATTCCTGGCTCGCCTCTGACTCTTCCTTAGCCGGATGTTCTTCTTTCGTTTCTCGGTTGTCTTTTTTTGGCAGAGCTGGTTGGAACATCCTCCAGTGGGGGGGGGGGGGAGATCACTCAAATCCCCATCTTCTGCACTATCCAGGACTTCAAAATCTTCGCTTTTGTCAATCATGGAAGACTGGGTGGCTGCCAGTTCAGAGGAGGTCAGGTCGACTAGACTGGTGCCCACCCAGTCATCCAGGTCTTCCCTCCGGAAGCCATGGCGCAGCGCGCTTTGATCAGCTGAACTGGACTCAGGAATTATCCAGTTTCAGTCCCGCCCTCTCAGTTCCCCAGAGGGCCTCCAGTGTTGCTTGTGCCCCCTTGGACTCCTATCCATTTGGTCGGAAGGTGTTGTGTAGATGCTGTTTTCCTGCCGTTCAGGGTTGCCGCAGCGAAGGGCTGGGCGGAGGGAGCTACGGAAGGCCACGGAGGAAAGGCTTTGGGCTCCCTGCCACCACCCCTCTTTTCTTGGGGGGGGGAGGAGGTGACAGGCTTCCTTCCCCCCCTCTGCCCTCCCCAGAGGCGGAGGAGGGCACGGGCGACAGGCGGCCTCCATTAACGGAAGGGCGACTGAGGCAGGCGATGGCTTAATACATTATTCCTCAGTTCCATGTGGAAATTATGCTCAGCAGGTTGATTCAATAAAACGTTCTCCCTGGGCATTTTGCATGCTAATGGCTCCTAAATGAGATGATAATTGCGCCACCACTTCCCAAGGCAGAAATGGGATCCTGCCAGGGCAGCCAGGAGCGGGGGAGGGGGAGAGACCACCAGCCGCCGGGTCGCCTGATTGGAAGGGGCCTGACCTGGCAGGCGGCTGCAGAGGGCCGGACAGGGTGGGTCAAGGGCAGCGGTGCAGGGGCTGGGGATCCATAGGAACAGCCCGTGTGCAGGCAGTCCTCAGCTGACGAGCTCAATGGAGGCCAAAATGTCTGTTGCTAAGAGAGACAGTTCTTAAGTGAGTTTGGCCCCATTCTATGACTTTTCTTGAACGGATTGGATAGAAGAGAGAAGAGGAGAAGAGAAGAGAAGAGAAGAGAAGAGAAGAGAAGAGAAGAGAAGAGAAGAGAAGAGAAGAGAAGAGAAGAGAAGAGAAGAGAAGAGAAAATATGGAATGGAATAAAATGGAATGGAATGGAATGATCAAAAGTGAGAAAGCGCTACAAGGGAATGAAAATTAGAAGAATGGAATAAACTGGAGTAGAGTAGAATGGAATAGAATAGAGAATGGAATAAAGAATGAAATAGAATAGAATAGAATAGAATGGAATATGGAATGGAATAGAATTAGAATTAGAATTATGGGTTAGAATAGAGTAGAATAGAATAGAATAGAATAGAATAGAATATGGAATGGAATAGAATAGAATAGAATAGAATAGAATAGAATATGGAATGGAATATAGAATGGAATGGAATAGGATAGAATAGAATAAATAGAATAAAATAGAATAGAACAGAACAGAACAGAATAGAATAGAATAGAATAGAATAGAATAGAAGCTGGAAGGGACCTTGGAGGTCTTCTAGTCCAACCCCCCGCCCAAGCAGGAGAACCTATACCATCTCAGGCCGTTCTAGTCTGTTCTTAAAAACCTCCAGTGAGGGAGCGCCCACAACATCTGAAAGCAGGCCGTTGAAAAAGGAGAGTCCAAGGCCCATGGGGGGTGGGGGGGCTGGGTGGAGTCCCCTTCCTCCTTCGTGTTGTCAGTCCAGCCTCATTAGCGTCAGGAAAGGCTGCTGAGCATCACAGGAGCCCATCTCGGTGCTGTCTCATCCCATCAACACCGGGCATCTCACGGCAGGGATGGATGGCACCTGAGCGCTCATCAGGATGTGGTATCCTGACAGTTTAGAGGGGGGGAGGAAGTGGGGAGGGCTTGGTATTGGCACTGAGAGCAATTAACGCTGGGGGGGGGGTTGATGGCTAGCAGGATTCACCCAGCTTCTTCCTAGTTTCCTGGCCCTTGGGTGAGGTGGGGAGGGCAGAGACCCTTCCCCTGCGCCCGCCCCCCCCCCCCCGCCATCAGTTTGGCCTCCTGATTTATTTTATTACGGATGGAAACTCATCCAGGAGAGAAGCAACCTGGAACTAAGGAGAAACTTCCTGACAGTGAGAACAATTAGCCAGTGGAACAACCTGCCTCCAGAAGCGGTGAATGCTTCAACACAGGAAGTTTTTAAGCAGAGACTGGACAGCCATTTGTCTGAAATAGTATAGGGTTTCCTGTCTGAGCAGGGGGTTGGACTAGATGATCTCCAAGGTCCCTTCCAACTTTACTACTACTACTACTACTACTACTATTATTATTATTATTATTATTATTATTATTATTATTATTATTATTATTATTTTGGATCATCGCACAGTCAGCCAGATGTTCAGACTGGATTTGGCATTTTCTCTACCTATCGAGTCCTTACCCGGGACCTGGGATAGGCAGATGTGGATGTTTGATGGTATTACAGATATCGTCGCAGTAAGGCCGCCTTTTGCAATTGACTAATAGCGAATTTGTCAATGCCAATGGTGTTCAAGTGGTGCTCCAGTTGTTTTGGGATTGCACCCAAGGAGCCTATGACTATTGGTACTACCCTTGCTTGCTTTTGCCACAGTCTTTCTATTTCTATTTGTAGGTCTTTGTATTTTGTTATCTTCTCCAGTTCTTTCTCTTCTATTCTGCTGTCTCCAGGCACTGCCACGTCCACTATCCAGACTTTTTTGTCTTTCTTATCGACAATTGTTAAGTCTGGGGTGTTATGTTGCAGGTGCTTGTCTGTTTGAATTCTGAAGTCCCAGAGCAGTTTAATTTTATCATTTTCTATGACTTTCTCTATTTTATGATCCCACCAGTTTTTGCTTACAGGCAAATGATATTTTTTACAGATCTTCCAATGCACCATTGTTGCTACTTTGTCATGCCGCTGCTTGTAATCAGTCTGTGCAATCTTCTTGCAACAGCTTACCAAGTGGTCCACTGTTTCTTCAGCTTCTTTGCATAGGCGGCACTTACTGTCTGTTGCTGTCTTCTCAATTTTGACTTTGTATGCATTTGTCCTTAAGGCTTGGTCTTGTGCAGCCAGAATTAGTCCCTCGGTCTCTTTCTTCAATTTTCCTGCTCTTAGCCATTGCCAGGTTTTGTTATTATCTGCTTTCCCAGCTATTTTTTTCATGTATTGGCCATGTAGTGCTTTGTCTTCCCATGCCTCTATTCTGTTCTTCATTTGGTCTTTCTTGTAGGCCAGTTTGGTCTCTCCAGTAGTCAGTAAGCCTTCCTGATATACTAATTTCAGTTGTTGTTGTTGTTGTTGTTGTTATTATTATTAATAATAATAATATCCACTTTTTAATAAAAAGGAGCAGAATAAAATAACAAAACATAGAATGCACAGTCTGAAATCGTTAATAGGAAGATGACAAACGTGAATCTGCGTTGCAAATATAATTTTTTTTTTTTACAAATAATGCTCGGCTTACGACCACAGTTGAACCCTGTTGCTAAGCGAGACAATGGCTACGTGCGTTTTGCCCCCCGTTTTGCGTCCTTTTCTTCCCAGTGTTGTTAAGTGAATCACTGCGATTGTTAAGCCAGTCACACGGTCGTTAAGTGAATCTGGCTCCCCCCCATTGGCTTTGCTGGTCAGAAGGCCATAAAAGGGGATCACGTGACCCCTCCCCCGGGGACACGGCGACCGTCATAAACACGAGGCGGTTGCCAAAAACATCTGAATTTTGTTTGCGTGGACGTGGAGACTCTGCAACGGACGTCAGTGGGAAAAGCGGTCTTAAGTCTCTTTTTTTTTCAGTGCCGTCGTCACTTGGAACGGTCACTAAATGAACTGTTGTAAAGTGAGGACTGCCTGCACTGGAGAAAGAGAGCGGAGAATCACCCCTTCCCAGAATGGAAAAGAAGGGAGAGCCGTAAAGGAAGGCTGGGGGTCTAGCAAAGCAGGGAAGCTGCCCAGGCCGTGTGTGGTGGCCTTGGACACATCGCGGGGGCCTTTCGGGGCCCTTCGGATCAGCTTCGGCTCTCCTAGGCGGGTGCCCCAGGTCGGGGTGCCCCCGCTGAGCAGAAGACCCTTGAATGCCCTCCCTCCTTCCCTTCTTCCCTGAGCAGTGATGAAAAACAGCCCCAGCGGAGTGTGCCCACTTGCTGGGCCACCGTGTCATAAATTAGGCCCACCACGGGGCCAAGGAGATCTCAGGCTGGCGAAAACAACATCCCAGCAGGAGGCTAGCAAAAGTTCAGCTGCAAAGGGAGCTGATGCTGCTGCCAGGGTGCCACTGGGGGGGGGGGTTTGCAGCTGGGGAGGGTCTCGGGGCCCATTTTGCAAAGGGGCAGCCTGCATTTCTGCACAGAGTTGGATTCCTAACAGGGGTGCTTCTCCCTGGAGTGAAAGAGACTCTCTGGGTCCTCGGCTGTAATTCCCAGGAGTTTCTTTATTTCTTTAGTTCAGTTTTGGTGGCATCCATCTCTCTTGACAGTGCCACTGTGGGTGGCTGACAATGTGATCAAGAGGGAGAAAGTGCTACAAAGGAATGAAAATTAGAAGAGTGGAGTGGAATGGAATAGAGAATGGAATGGAATATATGAAAAGGAGTGGAATGGAATGGAATGGAATAGAATAGAATATGGAATGGAATATAGAATGGAATATGGAATTGAATGGAATGGAATAGAATAGAATAGAATAGAACAGAACAGAACAGAACAGAACAGAACAGAATAGAATAGAATAGAAAATATGGAATGGGATAGAATAGAATAGAATAGAATAGAATAGAATAGAATAGAATAGAATAGAATAGAATAGAATAGAATAGAATAAGGGATAGAATAGAACAGAACAGAACAGAATAGAATAGAATAGAAAATATAGAATAGAATAGAATAGAATAGAATAGAATAGAATAGAATAGAATAGAATAGAATAGAATAGAATAGAATAGAATAGAATAGAAAATATGGAATGGAATAGAATAGAATAGAATAGAATAGAATAGAAAATATGGAATGGAATGGAATAGAGCTGGAAGGGACCTTGGAGGTCTTCTAGTCCAGCCTCCTGCTCAAGCAGGAGAACCTATTCCATCTCAAGACAGGTGACTGTCCACTCTCTTCTTAAAAGTCTCCAGCGATGGAGCATCCATGATTTCTGGTGGCAAGCTGTTCCACTGGTTGATTGTCCTCAATATCCTTAATTCCAGGTTGCTTCTCTCCTTGATTGGTTTCCATCCATTGTTTCCTGTCTTGCCTTCTGGTGCTTTAGAGAATAAGTTGACCCCCTCCTCTTCTTTGGGGCAGCCCCCCAGATACTGGAATACTGCTATCATGTCTCCCCTATTTCTTCTTTTCTTCAGACTAGCCAAACCCAAGTCCCACAGCCGTTCTTCGTATGTTTTAGTCTCCAGGCCTTGGATCATCTTAGTTGCTCTTCTCTGAACTTTTTCCCAAAGTCTCAATATCTTTTTTGTAATATAATGACCAAAATTGGCTGCAGTATTCCAGGTGTGGCCTCACTAGGGCTTTATAAAGCGGTATGAATACTTTGCGTGATCTTGAGTCTATGCCTCTGTTTAAACAACCCAGGATTGTGTTAGCTTTTTTGGCTGCTGCTGCTGCACATGGCTGGTTCATGGCCAGGCGATCGTCCACTAGGACTCCAGGATCCCTCTTGTGGTCAACTCTGCAGGATACCTGCAGCTCCTCCGTTGGTCTCCTGAGCAAGGACCCCCAAAAGAAGCAGCATAAGCCCTTTTGTTCAGCTGGAATCTCGGGAGCGTGTCCAGGACAGTCCCAGGACGGGGAGCCCTGTAAACAGAATCCCTGTGTTGGATGTGCCACACGAGCAGAAGACCGAGATGTGAGACCGAATTCAGTTCCTGTCACGTCTTTGGATGTAGAGTCACCTTTCTGGGCGTAGGGCGGTTGAGCCCCAGAAGGGTAATCCTTGAATGAGAGAAGGTCTTCTCCGCCACCCCCAAATCTATTTTGTGGTCTTCTGACCTCAAGGCTGAGGAGCTATCTGAAGGTTGTTGCAGCTTGTGCGTTACGGGTGGGAAGGGCATCTAGGGTTAGGGGCCTCAGAGGCAGCACTGATGCCAATGCTTTCCCAGAGGTCCCCTTTTCCACCTCTGGACCATCCCTGAGAGAAAGAGGTTGACAGGATGTTTCATGACCCAACTAGGGAACATCATCAGTGTCCCACTCTCTTCAAGCCCTGATTAGGTTAGTTGAGTCGTGCCAGGTCTGTAAGAAAACAAGTAAGTTGAGAGAGCACCAAGGACCCCACAGTTGTCCTCCTCCTCTTCCTCCACTTCTGCTTCTCCATTCTTCTCCACATCCTCTTCCTCCTCGTCCTCCTCTTCAGCTTCCTCCTCCACCACCACCTCCTCTTCCTTCTTCCACTTCTTCCTCCTCCTCCACCTCCTCTTCGGGTTCCTCCTTCTCTTCCTCGTCCTCCTCCTCCATCACCTCCTCTTCCTCCTTCCACTTCTTCCTCCTCCTCCACCACCTCCTCCTCCTCTTCCACCTTCTCTTCGGCTTCCTCCTTCTCTTACTCCTCCTCGTCCTCCCCTTCCTCCATCTCCTCTTCAGCTTCCTCCTCCTCCATCTCCTCTTCCTCCTCCTCTTCCTCCATCTCCACCTCCTCTTCGGTTTTCTCCTCCTCCTCTTCCTCCTTCTCCTCTTTCTCTTATTCCTCCTTCTCAACCTCCTCTTCCTCCCCCTCCTCCTCCACCTTCTCTTTCTCCACCTTTTCCTCCTCTTCCTCCCCGTCTTCAACCTTCTTCTCCGCTTCCTCGTCCTCCTCCTCCTCTTCAAACTCACCTCCCTTCTAGCACTGATGATGTTGCATAGTTGGGTCATGAAACGTCTGCAAGAAAACAGCCAAGCTCAGAGAGCACTCAGGACCCCACAGTCCTCCTCCTCCTCTTCTTCCCTTCTAGCACTGAAGATGTTCCCTAGTTGAGTCATGAAACGTCTGCAAGGAAACCACCCAGCTCAGAGAACCACCCAGGGCCCCTCAGAAGTTACAGGCTGTGCCAAGGGAAGCAAGCACGGACTCAGTTCTTCACCTAGGAACTCTGCCTGCTTGAGCCTGGGGTCGGGCTAGAGGACCTCTGAGGTCCCTTTCAACTCTGATTCTGACTCCAACTGGCTGCCCCTCTCAGGACATGGTGCGCCGTGGGGAGATCATTGACGACGACATGGAGGAGGAGTTCTACCTCCGGCGCCTGGACGCCGGCCTGTTCGTGCTGCAGCTCATCTGCTACATCATGGCCGAGATCAGCAACGCCAGCATCCCCCAGGTAGGACCGGCCAGCCCTGCCCTCCGCCCTCCTTTTAGTGGTGGATGTCATTTATTTATCTGCGTCTCCCCTTCGTTGTTTTTACAAATAACCTCCTCCTGTTTTCTGCACAGCCACCCTGCAAGGTAGACTGGGCTGAGAGAGAGGACTGGCCCAAAGCACTCAGCTGGCTTTCATGCCTAAGGCGGGACTAGAACTCACCCTCTCCCGGTGATTGGCCCAGAGTCACCCAACTGGCTTGCATGGATAAGGCAGGACTAGAACTCTCTCCTAGTGATTGGCTCAGAGTCACCCAGCTGCCTTTCATGCCTAAGGCGGGACTAGAACTCTCCATCTCCAGTCACTCAACTGGCTCGCATGGCTAAGGCGGGGCTGGAACTCACCGTCTCCTGGTGATTGGCCCAGAGTCACTCAACTGGTTTGCATGGATAAGGCGGGACTAGAACTCACCGTCTCCTGGTGATTGGCCCAGAGTCACCCAGCTGGCTTGCATGGCTAAGGCGGGGCTAGAACTCACCGTCTCCTGGTGATTGGCCCAGAGTCACCCAGCTGCCTTTCATGCCTAAGGCGGGACTAGAACTCACCCTCTCCTGGTGATTGGCCTAAAGCAGCGGTTCTCAACCTTGGCAACTTCAAGACTTGTGGACTTCAACTTCTAGAATTCCTCAGCCAGCTTTGCTGGCTGAGGAATTCTGGGAGTTGAAGTCCACAAGTCTTAAAGTTGCCAAGGTTGAGAACCGCTGGCCTAAAGTCTCGCAGACACCTTTTTGTGTCTAAGGCAGGACTAGAACTCTGCACCCCTTGCTTTCTCCCCTGGTGCGTTCACCACTAGACCAAACTGCCTCCCTTCCTTTGTGGCGTCTGCAGTTCCCGGCCCACTGCGGTGCTTCATTTTGCAGAAGCGGGGGTCCTGCGGCCTTCCACAGCGCCCCCCCCCCCCGCCGGAGGTCCTCTGGGGTCTCAAGGGGGGGCTGCCCCAGAAAGGACTCACAATCGCTGCCAGTTGGCTTGTTTCTGTATTTATACGGCCGCCCTTCTCACAAACGGTTGTGAGATGCAACGAAGCCGAAACACCAGAGGCAAACGAGTCACTCCTACGGTGACTGTGAAAAACTTTACAGTTGTTGTACAAAATTCAAACTACGCCGGGCCCGGAGGAAGTCAGAGGCGCTGCTTGCTTCCCCAAAGGCGGACTTCCTGCTCCCCAACGGAGACCCCTTTATCCCTCCCCCTTTCTCCCCCCTTCCCCCCCCCCCAGATCCGCCAGAGGGTGCATCAAATCCTGAACATGCGCGGAAGCTCCATCAAGATCGTCCGGCACATCATCAAAGGTGAGCCACAGGGAGGGAGGGAGGGAGGCTCCTCCCCCAGGGCTCCCCTCACCTGGCCAGGGGTCCCGGCTGGCCTTCCTTGGGGGGGGGAGGGAGGACTGGGGGTACGGCTGAGCCACCAGCGAAGGTGCAAAGCCAGCAGCAACGGGGGGGGGGGGGCAGCCGAGGGGGGGGGGTTCCTTTGCTGCCTAAGGTTGGCTGTGGGGTCAGATTCTGGGGTCTGCAAGCCTAGGACCAGGCAGGCCTGCCCCCCTTGGAGGGCGAGACTGGGTTCTGATATACTGGGAAAGTTGGGGAGCAGCCTGAGCCCCCCTCCACACAGACACACCCCGAATGTGGCAGTGGATTACTGAATCCTTTTGGGGGGGGGTGTCTGTGGCCAGCATCCTTTGGGGCAGCCTTTGAGAAGATGGGGGGGGGATTTTGACCACGTGAAAGCCCCCTGCTGTTCCTCTGGCAGGTCCTGTGGGGAGAGGAAGGGGGCACTTGGGGACCCCCAAGCCTTGGGCAGGGGGAGCCTCCCCTGGGAGTCCTCTGTCCCACCCCCTTGCTTGCTGCTCTCCCTGCAGGGTTCCCCCCCTCCTCCCCCCCCTCTTCTCACTCCTTCCTCCTCCGCTCCTGCTTCTTCTCCTCCTCCTCCTCCCCTTCTGCTCTTCCTCCTCTACTCCTTCTCTTCCTCCTCCTCCTGTCCTCCTCTTCCTCCTCCTGTCCTCCTCTTCCTCCTCCTGCTCTTCCTCCTCCTCCTCCTTCTCTTCCTCCTCCCCTCCTCCTTCTCTTCCTCCTCCCCTCCTCCTTCTCTTCCTCCTCCCCTCCTTCTCTTCCTCCTCCTTCCTCCTCCCTCCCTCCCTCCCTCCTCCTTTCTCTTCCTCCTCTCCTACTTCTCTTCTTCCTCCTCTTCTTCTTCCTCTCCTTCTTCTCTTCCTCCTCCCTTCCTCCTCCTGCTCTTCCTCCTCCTGTCCTCTTCCTTCTCTTCTTCCTCCTCCTCCTGTCCTCTTCCTTCTCTTCTTCCTCCTCCTCCTGTCCTCCTCCTCTCCTTCCTCCTCCTTCTATTCTTCATCCTTCTCTTCCTCCTCCTTCCTCCTCCCTCCCTGCTCCTCCTTTCTCTTCCTCCTCTCCTCCTTTCTCTTCCTCCTCTCCTCCTTCTCTTCTTCCTCTTCTTGCTCCTGCTCTTTCTCCTCCTCCCCCTCTTCTTCCGCCTCCTGTCTTCCCCCTTCCTCCCTCCTCCTCCCCCCCTCCTCTTTTGCATGCTAATTGGCAGCCCGCTTTGGAGCCTGCTTTTTATGGCCTACCTATTTTCCCTGATTCTCTGGCAGCCTGACAGCTGATGGATCCCTGGGGAGGGGGGGAGGGCTGAGAGGGATCCAGGGCTCCATTTCACAGGGAAGCCGGAGACAGGCGTGGGGGGAGGGGAGGGGAGGGGGGAGAGGCAGGGAGAAGCCCTTGGAATTCCTCGCCATCGCCCTGGAAGGGGGAGTGGGGAGCTCGCCCACCCACCCACCCACGATCCCCCAAGGGCTGCCGGCATGCTGGACAAGTGGCCAGAAAACCCAAGAGGGGGTGCATTGGGTGTGACCCCCTCCCTGGCATCCCACACGTTGCAGGAGACCCCCGCTTCCTCTTGTCTCCAAAAGCCTCGCCTGCAAACCATCAGAATGCAGAAGAACAGAGTGAGAAGGGACCCTGGAGGTCATCTAGTCCAACCCTAGACCAGATATGTCAACACAAGGCCCGGGGGCCGGATGCGGCCCATGAAGTGATTTCATGTGGCCCATGAAGCCATCCTGGAAACAGTGAGGGAACGGCCCCCGCTGTCTTGGCCCTGGCCCAGGCCGGCTGGGAGCCCATGTACAATTTTGTGGTGGCCCTCTATGCTGAAACACATTCAGTCTTAGCTCCACAAGACCGTCTGGAAACAGCGAGGAACCAGCCCCTTCCATGTTGGCCCCGCCCTCTGGGTGCATGCTGGGGAGGGGTCACCCTTTGTGAGGAGTGAAGAAATGCATCATGCCTTGGCGCTTGCCCCGGTCCCTCCCCCCTTCTGCCAGAGACCCCCAGATCTGTCCCCCTCCAGCCCAGGCCCCCACAGGCACCCTTGACGAGAATGATGTAGAGCTGGCCACGCCCACCCAGTAGGCCACACCCACTCCAGCCACGCCCACCCAGTAGGCCGCACCCATCCTGGCCATGCCCACCCGGCCCCCTGAGGGCAACTGCAATGTTGATGCGGCCCTCAATGAAATTGAGTTCAACACCCCTGCCCTAGACCAACTTTGGGAATTTTAAGACTTGTGGGCTCCATCTCCCAGAATTCCCCCTGCCAGCTTGGGGGTCTTCTAATCCAGCCTCCTGCTCAAGCAGGAGGACCTCCCATACCCTCTCAGCTGGTTGCTAGAGGAATGGCTGGCGTCACATCATTGTACAGTGTTTCTCAACCTTGACCATTTTAAGGCATGTGGAATTCTGGGAGTTGAAGTCCACATGCCTTAAAATGGTCAAGGTTGAGAAACACTGGTGTAAAAATAGAAAGTTGAGGCCACAACGTTATTATCTTCTGCGTTGCTGAAAAGAGTGGGAAGTCAAGGCCTTTTTCGTCCTTTTTTTCCCCCTTCTACCCCAGCCTTTCTCCTTTTCCTCTCTTCCTGCCCTAGTTTCCCATCATTATTTTTGTTTCCTTTGTATTCTATATTCTGCTAAACGAATAGAAATTTTAAACCGCAACGAGCGAAAGGCCCGAATTTTGCCCTGCGTGCCTCCCCGGAGTGAGAGGACTTGTCTGGCAAAGGGATGGACAAGGCAGCTGAGCAACTGAGCTGACCCCTTCTCTTCGGGCGGGGCAGGGGGGCTCGGCAGGACCCTCCCTCTTACTCAGACCTCCTCTGACCTTGCAGAGTACGCGGAAAACATCGGAGACGGGAAGAACCCCGAATTCCAGGAGAGCGAGCAGAAGCGGATTGTGGAGCTTCTGGAGAACTTTTGAGGAACCCTTGATGGCTTCCAGGACCTTCTGCAACTTGGGGTGCAAACGAGACGTTCCGGATAAAGGGGACCTTCGGAATGGTTTTTTTGGGGGGACAGGGGTGTTATTTTGAAAGATTAAAGATAGTCTGGTTTGTATTTACAAAATCTCTCGGCTGATTCTTTGTTCCGGGCTTGAGAGGGAAACTTTGAATCTACCACTTTCTTCTCCTTTTCCAGAAGGATTTGATGCTCCTCTGGCTTGTGTGGCCCTTGGGGGCCCCAGATGCCACATGGCACAGTCACTCCCTGCGACCCCCAGATCTGAGGCTCCCCTGTCCTCCTCTAAGCCATGCTTCTCAACCTCAGCCACTTTAAAATAGCTGATTTGAGGACACGGATCACGGCTAAGCATGGCTAGCTGAGGCTGTGTGGAGAGCTGCTTCTTGACGACGCTCATAGTGTGGGTTGATGTTTTCTGACCACTGTGTTATTTTAACTTTTGCAGCATCTATAATCATCGTTTTTATTCTATTCCAACTCTTGTTCGCTGCCGAAAGCCTTGCTGAGAGGGGCACCGTATCAATTGGATAAATAAATAACATTAATCACCCGGTGGCTTATACATTGATCTAATTTGGCCTTTCCTGGCTGGCCTCCTCATTCATCCGGGGAGGGGAGGGGGCTGCTTAAAGCTTGGCTGCTTTAAGACTCGTCAATTTCAATTCCCAGAATTCTGGAAGTTGAAGTCCACCCATCTTAAAAGTTGCCAGGTATGCAAAATCGTGGCTTTAGAATAGGAATGGATTGGAATGGGTTGTGGAATGGAATAGATTGTGGAATGGAATGGAGTGGAGTGGAATGGAATAGAATAGAATAGAATAGAATAGAATAGAATAGAATAGAATAGAATAGAATAGAATAGAATAGAATAGAATAGAATAGAATAGAATAGAATAGAATAAGAAATGGAATAGAATAAGGAATGGAATAGAATAAGGAATGGAGGAATGGAATAGAATAAGGAATGGAATGGAATGGAATAGAAAATATGGAATAGAATAGAATAGAATAGAATAGAATAGAATAGAATATGGAATGGAATATGGAATGGAATGGGTTGTGGAATGGAATAGAATAGAATAGAATTACAGAATGGAATAGAATAGAATAAGAAATTGAATAGAATAAGGAATGGAGGAATGGAATAGAATAAGGAATGGAATGGAATGGAATAGAAAATATGGAATAGAATAGAATAGAGCTGGAAGGGACCTTGGAGGTCTTCTAGTCCAGCCCCCTGTTCAAGCAGGAGAACCTATACCATCTGAGACAGGTGAATGTCCAGTCTCTTCTTTAAAATCTCCAGTGATGGAGCACCCACAATTTCTGGAAGCAAGCTGTTCCACTGGTTGATTGTCCTCACTTGTTAGGAAGTTTCTCCTTAATTCCAGGTTGCTTCTCTCTTTGGCCAATTTCCAACCGTGGTTTCTCTTCCTTCCCTCTGGTGCTTTGGAGAATAATGTGACCACCTCTTCTTTGTGTCAGTCCCCCAAATATTGGAAGACTGCTATCGTGTCTCCCCTATTCCTTCTTTTCTCTAGACTAGCCAGACCCAAGTCCCGCAGCCGTGCTTCAGAGGGCTTTGCAAGCAGTGGAAAAGCAAACAGGCCCATGTGCTGAAAACCCTCTTCCTGGGAAAGGGGGAGGGGGAGTCTGAGCAACCCCCAGCCCAGAACCTCAAGCTGGACCAAGCAGCCCCTCCCTCCCCTTTGTCTGCCCAGGGACCATCCTGCATTTTGCAGCTGCAAAAAGGCACCAGAGGCAGATTCCATCCGAAAAAGCTCTGGACATCTCCAACCTGTGGAGTCTCTGGGCAACAGAAGAGAGAGACACACACCCCCCCCCCAATCTGATGGGGCTACGAAGGACCCCCTCTGGGATCCTGGAAGAGCGAGCTGGACGGCGTATAAAATTTAATAAAAATAAAGGAGGGAGCAGCTGAATCAGAATGGTGCTGTCAGCCCGGCGACGCAGGGGAAGCAGCCTTCAAAAATAGAAATATTTCTTTCTCCTGCTATCGATTTTCCTTCTGCTTCTCTGCAGATCTCTTTCTTCGCTCCTTAATGCCCAGCTCTGGGTCAAGCAGCAAAAATGAAATCAAATCATGTTTTTTTTTCTTTTCTTCTTTCCCCCCCCCCCTCCCCTTTTCAGCGTTGATTTCAGGCCTGGCGAAATGGTGACATTAAGTAAAAGTGTCAGGAGGTTAAGTAATCCCCACGCTGCTGCTCCAGCCTCCAAGGCAGCACTGGTCCAGCCTCCAAGGCAGCACGGAGGAATAAGGGCTCCATGGCTCAATTCCCCTTGCAATTGGGGAGGGGCGGCAGAGGGTCCTTGAGTAGCCCCAAGGAGGTGGCCGGAGGCTTAGAAGCTGCAGCCAGTTTTAGGGCAAATTTCCGCTTTTTAGTAATAAAGTTGGAAGGGACCTTGGAGGTCATCTAGTCCAACCCCCTGCTCAGGCAGGAAACCCTGTACCATTTTGGACCAATGGCTGTCCAGTCTCTTCTTAAAAACTTCCAGTGTTGCTTCCTGGCAGGGATGCCCAGAAGATGCCCAAAGGCTGGCAGCCCTCCTTCCCCACGGCTGTTTCTGCAGCCGTGCAGCTCCTGGTTCTTCCCGCCTTCTTGGCCCAGCCGGCCTCTCCACCTGTGTTGACAGCATCAATTGACCGGGCCTCACCAGCTCTGCACAAATAACTTTGGATCAAAATGAGTGTCAGTTCTGAAAATCAGAGGCAGCGCAAGGGGGAGGCAGCCGCGGCGAGCCGAAGGGCGTTTCCAGGGGCGCCTTTGCCAAGCGTGTCCCAAAGCGCCCCCACTGGGTCTGTCCTTCGGCCATGAATGTGCTTTTACCACTGAATTAGAGCTGGTATTTTTCCCTCCCCTGGAATTTACGGAGGAGGAGGAGGAGGCGGGAGAAAGGCTGGTCCATCGCTGCCAGCCAGGAGGGCTGAATGGAGCTGCAATAATAATAATAATAATAAAGTTGGAAGGGACCTTGGAGGTCTTCTAGTCCAACCCCTGCTCAAAGCAAAGTCCTTATATAATTCCAAACAAATCGTTGTCCAATCTCTTTTTAAAAACTTCTAGTGTTGGAGCATTCACAACTTCTGGAGGCAGGTTGTTCCACTGGTTAATTGTTCTCACTGTCAGGAAGTTTCTCCTTAGTTCCAGGTTACTTCTCTCCTTGATGAATTTCCACCCGTTGCTTCTTGTCCTGCCTTCAGGTGCTTTGGAGGATAGCTTGACTCCCTCTTCTTTGGGGCAACCCCTAGATACTGGAAGACTGCTATCCTGTTCCTCCTCGTCTTTCTCTTCATTAAACCAGACATCCCCAATTCCAGCAGCCGTTCCTTGTATGTTTTAGCCTCCAGTCCCCTGATCATCTTTGTTGCTCTTCTCTGCACTCTTTCCAGAGTCTCAACATCTTTTTTACATCATGGTGACCAAAACTGGATGCCGTATTCCAAGTGTGAGGCCACACTTGGAATACTGCATCCAGTTTTGGATTCAGAGAAGTCCGCTACGGTGGCATTTAGCAGCAGAAAATGCGTGGGAAGGGTCCCCTTACTGGAACCCCCCAACCTTTTCCTAAACCTAGGCTTGGCTCAGCTTGGAAACCTCTCCCTTTCCCCTTCAGCATGGCTGACTCAGGAATTCTGGGAGTTGAAGTCCACCAGTCATAAAAGAGCCGAGGTTGCCTACCCCTTTCCTATCCCTTCCCCTCGGTTGAGGGAGGGCTGTTCTGTTTGGACCTCGATGGCGTCTTGAACCCCTCTTTCAAGCCAGCGGTCCTCTTTGTCCAAAATGTGGACTTTGCTGTCTTCCAAAAAGTGGCCTTTATCTTTCAAAGTCAGATGGGCTGCTGAGTCTGGTCCTGATGGGTCTGTCCTCCTGTGTTGTGCCAGGCGTCTGTGAAATGATTGTTTTGTTTTTTTCCTCCGAAAATCAGCCCAGTTGCCTTTTTCGAAATAAAAACCACTTTTGTTTACGACGGTGACCTGGATGACTGAGAATCTTCACGGTCCCTTGGCAAGGAGCTGATGGTGCACCGTCTTCTGAGCCCCCTCCTTGTCCCCAAAAGAGGCCTTCTGCTCAGCATCTTGGAGAGAACCTCTTACCAAACAGTTGCACCTCCGTGAAGCCCGAATCCCAGCGAGACAGGCCGACAGATCCGAATGCACGAACAAATGTTCATACAAGAAGGTCTCATTTGAGTGCTGTGCCGTGTGGACCCGCAAAGGGGCATTCAGATGTGGGAAGTCAGCCCCCCAGAGAAGGAAATATTAAAAAGGGCCGAAAAATATATTTCCTCCAAGGATCTTAAAGCGGCAGGAAAGCATGCCCAGTTTTTCTTAATAGCCCCAGGCCTCTCTCCCCAAGCAGGAACCAGCTCTATAGAGATGCAGGTGTAAATCCAGGGATCTAGGAGATTAAGAAGACAAAGACCTAAAATCTACATACCCCATCCAAACTCTAAGAGTCATCAGCCCCCAGTCTCGGAAGCAGGATATGACATTTGGGACATAAGAAGATTAACCTATCACCATCAGAATACCAGAAAAGCACACTCAGACTCAGCTCAAAGTTCATGCCACAGAAACAGGAAGCAACTCCAAACAAAAGGCTCCAGAGGGTATAAAAACCCACTCCCCACATGTGCTCAGCCCTTTTTTTCCCTCTCCTCTTTCCCTTCTGTCTGGCTCTTCAATAAACTGCAACCTTCTTTCTAAAGCAGTCGCCATGTTGTTTATCCCCGGCTTGGACTGAACCAGGATGAAAGCTTTTCTTCCAACACAGAAGCACAGGGTCAGAGGGACAGCAACGCGTCTGCAACTCTTGATAAGATTGTTTTCCTCCCGGCTGCTGGGGCTGTGATGCCGGGAGAAGACGCAGCTGCTTTAAAGAGCTGCAGACCAGCTCCAGGCCTGCTCCTTTGGGGAAACGAATCGGAAGAGTTGCTTATCCTTGGTGGCATGAAGGAATTCATACCAATTTATTTGATTGATTATCCCAAAGGTCCTTTTTTCCCCAAAAAGGCAACTGGACTCTCTCGTTTTGTTTTTTCCTTCGAAAACCTTTCGTTTCTCATCCAAGATGCTTCTTTAC